GACCTCGGGGACCCGGAGCCCACCCGGGTCGCGCCCCGGTGCCTTGGCGCAGCCTGCATTTGAACCCGAGCGACCCGTTTCCCGTGCGTCGCTCAAGACCTCAGGGAGGTTAATCGCTACAGTGACTTGTCTAATTTGTGATCAACTGACTTTTTTAGGGTGCTCACTGGGGATTTATTTCAAAGCGAAAATAATGATCCAAATCGTTTTCAAATGCCATCTTTATGACAATGTCATATTGCCATAAACGAAGTTGACATAACCTGTTGTGCAGACATTTAATTAAACATACTAATTTTGATTATGCAGGGTGTTTTGTTTTTAAAATGGAGCCAATTGTTTTGCTCTTAGTATTCAGAGATATTTTTGTGGGTCCCTGAAAAGCCCATAGACTTACATTCTGAGGTTCTGGGGGCTGGGACTTACGCATGTGAATATTGGTAGGACTCAAGTCAGCCCAACGCAGAGACTGTGCCCTCCTTCCCGGGGCATCCCAAGCACCCAGCAGAGCGCCGACAAAAAGACACAAGAACAGCTTTCTGTCTAACCAACTGCTCCGGACTCGCTGTGAGGTTGGCCTGATCGCTTCTGTTCTCTGCAGCTTAGTTGCACCACCTGTAATATCAGGTTGGATAAATTGGTTTCTAAGGATAGCCTCACAGATGACCCTCTAAACCAGGGATGGGGGACGTTTCTTCTGGCCCTGCCAAGGCAACCGCAGTTCCAGCCATCATATTAGGGGTGAGTTAATTAAATGTTTGACCAAGTATAGCAGGCTATTTTTTTTTAATATATCTTTATTGATTTCAGAGAGAGGAAAGGAGAGGGAGAGAGAGACAGAAGCATCAATGATGAGAGTCATTGATCGGCTGCAGCCCACAACCTGGGCATGTGCCCTGACTGGGAATCGAACCCCAATTGCCTGGATCCTAGGTCGACGCTCAACCGCTGAGCCACACCCGGCCAGCAGTAGGCTAATTTTTAAGTCGATAATTTTGTATGGCCCTGGAATGATGTTATAAATATCCAAATCGCCCAGCCAGGCGTGGCTCAGTGGTTGAGCGTGGACCTGGGATCCAGGCGATCGGGGTTCGATTCCTGGTCAGGGCACATGCCCGAGTTGCGGGCTCGATCAATGACTCTCTCATCATTGATGTTTCTATCTCTCTCCCTCTCCTTCCCTCTCTCTGAAATCAATAAAGATATATAAAATAATAATAATAAATAAATATCCAAATGGCCATTGGCAGAAGAAAGGTTCCGCAGGCGTGCTCTAACCCAGCATTCTTAATCTCTTCCATGAAACCTTTCTTCCCCCTTACCACTAGAGGGAGATGTTGCTCCCCGTTATTTCTTCCTTGGGAAGGTGCTTTCAACCTGTGGCCCCAGGGACTTAAAAAGTGGAGGAGCTGAGACCAAGGACAGCTAGCAGCCAAACTATCAGGTAGGTACTCAGCCCTGGGCTCGAATGTCAACTCTGCTGCCCCCTGGCTGAGGTACATTTCCAAAGTCGCCTCGAAAGTATTAGTTTCCTCTGCTGCCAGTTGGGCAATGGAAATGGACGATTCCTGCGCACAGCTAGGTGGACGGCCTCATCTAAATGACAAAGGCGGCAGGCTTCCAGGTAGAGCTCCCAGTTTAGAGACTCCAGAAACGCAAATGACACCCCCCCACACCCCCCACACCCCCGCTTGCTACCTTCCTGCTGACCCAATTCCTGTCTGCTGGTGGATCCTGAGAATGCTAGCAGCTCTGTCTAGGGAATGGGCCTTTCTGAGGGCTTGGCCTGGCCAGAGAGAACAGATGTCTACAGAAAGGCAGGTGACCCCTCCCCTATGAAGTAGGATGCAAGAGAGATCCTGATTAATTCTAATTTTTGAGGCTCCAAGTTTATTATTTTTTTAAATATAGCCCTAGCTGTTTTTGCTCAGTGATTACAGCGTCGGCTCCCAGACTGAAGGGTCCTGGGTTCGATTGTGACCAAGGGCACATACCTCCATTGCAGGCTCCATCCCTGGGTGTGTAAGGCAACCAATATGTGTCTCTCTCCCCCTCTCTCTCTGAAAAGCAATGGAAAAAATTTCCCCAGGCAAGGATTAAAAACAAACAAACAGAAATTAGTTTCCCAGTAAGTGTATGTTGTAAATATACATAAAAAGACAACCATGTTCTCTGGTCAGCCACACACAGGGCTCCTTGACTGGTATTTGCCCCCAGAAAAGAACCATACAGCCAGACCTCAAAGAAGAATTTTCCAAAGATGCTGCTGCCCTTGGGGAAGTAAGGTGGCCATGCACAGAAGTGGAAGCAGACGTGGTTAAGAACCAAAACCAGAGTCAGAAGAAAAGCACAGAAGAGGGGTGGAGGGGAACCTCTAGTGCCACAAGAGATCCAACCCAGGAACTAGGAAAGGTGGCCTGAACTTAAACAGCTCCGAAGGAACCCCTCGTGGGGTCTTGTGGATTCAGTCATGACGGACTGATACCAGGCTGTTTTGATTAGAATGGCTTTCGAAAGTATACAAAGAACTCATACAACTCAACAAGAGGAAGACAAACCAATTTAAAAAGGGGCAGAGGACGTGAATAGATGCTTCTCCAAAGAGGACATACAGGTGGCCAAGAGGCATATGAAAAAATGCTCAACGTTGCTAATCATCAGAGAGAGGCAAATTAAAACCACGAGGAGGTATCACTTCACACCTGTCAGAATGGCTCCATCAACAAGTCAACAACAACATGTGCGGGCGAGGGTGTGGAGAAAAGGGGCCCCTGGTGCACTGCTGGTGGGATGCAGACCGGGGCAGCCGCTTNTGCTGGTGGGATGCAGACTGGGGCAGCCGCTATGGAAAGCAGTATGGAGCTTCCTCAAAAAAATAAAAATGGAGCTGCCTTTTGACCCAGTGATCCCACTTCTGGAAATATATCCTAAGAATCCTGAAACACTAATCAGAAAGAATTAATGCTCCCCTATGTTCATAGCAGCACAATTTACAATAGCTAAGGTCTGGAAACAGCCGAAGTGCCCATCAGTAGATGAGTGGATAAAAAAGTGGGACATTTACCCCGTGGAATACTATGCAGCTGTAAAGAAGGATCTCTTACCCTTTGGGACAGCATGGAGAGACCTGGAGAAAATTATGCTAAGTGAAATAAGCCAGGCCAAGAAAGACAAGCATCACATGACCTTTCCTATATGTGGAATCTAATGAACAAAATAAACTGATGAACAAAATAGGTCCAGTGATATAGAAGCATGGAACAGACTGAGGGATCTCAGAAGGAAGGGGGTGGGGAGAGATTAACCAAAGAATTTATATGCATAAGTGCATAACCCATGGACACAGACAATAG